CTGTTGAAGCTCCTCTCACTACAACGATGGACCTGGCACCCGCACGGTGAATACATTGAATTCTAAAGAGGTTTTGTCTGCATATATTTTGTATTGTGTTTGTTATTAATTGATTCATCCAAATTCATAATTTGGATAAACACTTTATTTTTAATAAGAATTATCATACGAGTATAAAAGCATAGGTATAATTTGTTTTAGGATCAAACTAAAACGGTTTAGTGCTGCCATCTAGTTAAACTTAACCACATATATAGTAAAGTATGTCAAGATTTTATTTTATAAAAATTAATTAAAAGAATTATAATTTTATTTGGACCTACTTTCTTAAATTTCTGATATGTTTTTAAGTTTTTTGAATAATTCTGATGCATGATTTTAATTTTTTGCATATTTATTTTCTTGACATATAAGTTTTTTTTTTTTTTTTTTTTTTAATGTAAAAGGTGGCAAACGAGCAGACGGCCCACTTGATGGTCAGTAGTGACCGTCGCCCATGGACATCCACAACATAGATGTTTCGGATGCGTTGCCAACCTTACTTGTGGAGGAAAAGGGAGGGGTGGGAATAAGGAAATATAAGGAAAGGTTGGGAACAGGGAAAGGGCAACCGGCTCTCTCACTCATCGGACGAAACGCAGTCATTGCTGACTACTTCACGCCGATCTTCTGTGAGAGGGTGGTACTTCCCCGGTCGAGCCAGCCCATTTTCGAGCTATAGTAAATAACTACAGCTAGGCTCTACCACCTATAATGTATGTAATTTATAATTTTTCAGAAATCAATGAGTGATATAATATGCAAAGAACAGGAAAATGTTGAAAGAAATCTACAAAAATCAAACATTTTATTACAAAGTTTGTCTTCAATACTTGGAGTAAATAGTACAGATGTGTTGTTATATGTTAAGACTTATAATGAATTGATGAGTAGAGGCAGCCAGTTGAAAGAAAATATAACTGAGGAATATAAAAGAAAGGAAAATGAATTGATGCAATAGTAAGTATGATTTGAGTGTAATTTATAATATATTAATTTTTTTTGTCTTAGTACAATAGGAATTATTTTAAACCTATGTACAATTATTTATCAATATATTATATAATAATTATTTAACACAATGTTAGAAAAGTTCTTGAAAATAATTATTACGTTTTCCTATAACCACAAAAAAAACAATATAATTTGTTTCGCCTGGTAGCCATTAACTAAAATATTTTATGATAATTAGTAAGTTGCCCCTCTTGGTGGCCGTAATGCTACATGCGATAGGGTAACAGAAATGTTCTACTTCAATAGAATATAATAATTAACTTTCCAAAATAGTGAATTTCAATTTCAAAGTCAATGCTATTCAGGACTTTCAGAGTGAACTAATGGAATGAGTAAACTTATTTATGAACACCCAACATACTGACTTGGCATTCATTAACATATAATATTAATAGCTAATACAACTGTTACTTCAAAGTTTCCTATATATATAAATACAATAAATTTTCAGTAAGAATTCATCGGCCCACCTAAGATCCAACGTACATGATGGTTGTACAAAACAACCAAACTGTAACAACACAGTCATCTCAGCCATGAGACACCGACTGATACAAGACAGAGATGTTGTGGATGAAAGGATCGTTGAAACAAGCGTTATGTTCAATGATATTAAGGTAATGAAAGATACTTACCTAAGAATCTACTTAGGTAACTTCTAGTAAATTAGAAAGTTACTTAGGTAACTAGTATTTACTATCAATATATTAAGATTATGGTGTCATAAAGTGATCACCTTGTGAATTTTAATAATAATATTTGAATGAAACTATTATTTTTCCGATTACTACGAGTATTTTATTATTTTTAATGGTCGAAAAGATGTTTACCGTTATCACGGTTGGTGAAAAGTAAAAGTAACGTCGAGAATATGTAGTTTTTAAAAATAATATAATAACGCGTATGTAGTAATCAGAAAATTAAATTTACATGACAGAAATACTTGATTGATGGCTTTTTGACTTAACTGCACCTTGTCATAAGATACGAATTTCCTTAGCCTGACTTGCAATCAACGTTCTGAATTTTATGATAGCTAATCATTATTTGCCCTCATCCAGTTCAGAATTCAAACCTCTAAACTTCATATTATTGTTAGCTTAAAAGAACTGTCTACTTCAAACAACGAGGTTACATTAAGCATCTTAAAAATCTTTTTAAAAAGCAGTGGCGAAAATACCTTGTAAACAGTGACTAATTATAGAGTATCAAAGTCAAACAAATTAAGAGCCTATTTAAAAGGCGAAAGGGACAATTTGTAATATAATAGTTTTTTTTTTATTATTTTATCCTGAGATTTATATGTTGCAATAAATTTGATTTAAAGCTGCGTTAAAAAAAATTGTAACATAACTTTTAGCTGAACTAGGTTTTTTTATGTTCCACCAATTTACAGATAAATCTTTATAATGTCTATCAAATTACCCCTCTTACTTATAGATGTATTAAAAGTTTATAATTTGTTAATTATCTTTGAATTACAAAAGTGTTACGAGTTTCTTGGAGTTTAGATAAGCAGACTTGTGGCTTTGTGGCTTAACCTCAATCTTAAAACTTATTAGTTTCTTTTGGTAAAAAACCAAAAATGTTTGTGTACTATCTTATCTGTAATTCTTCAAAGTTAAAGAAAATATTCATTTGAAATTTTCACAAGAATAAAACAGTATAATATTGACTATATTTTAATATTCAACTAGCTAATATTGGATTACGCTTGTACCTTGAATCTGATTACTGTAAAATAATTATAGGGCAGGTATAAAAACAAAAGTTAAGATTTATTTAATTTCATCACATGTATAATATAATTGACTTTTTTTTATGATATTCTAACTAATATGGTAGTATATTTTTCATGAAAATATGAAATATATAAAATGACTGGTTGAAGTCAAATAAAATTTTGAACGAAGATGATTATTGTTTTAATAATATGAATATTGAGATATAGGTATTTCTGTAACAATGAACGCGAAACGGACGTTTGCAATGTGTCTGAAGCAAGGAGTGGCTCAACATGCTGAATTGATAGCTGAAATTGGTGAACTAGCCAGCAAGGAGTACGTGATAGAACAGGCACTCGATAAAATGCTTAACGACTGGGCGGCCAAGACGATGGAAGTGTCTCCATATAAAAACACTGGTATAACATTAGAAATATATATAGCCTCATGTCATTATTGCTTGTCATTAATTTGTGTTGGACTAATTTCTAAGATAGGTATTTAAATAAATTGTTCTAAATTATTTCTAAGCAGAACTGTGTAGTACTGCAGTTGAGAATTAATAAAGTAACGGCTTATTTAAATATTTATCAAGCGTCTATAATCTAATTTACAGGCACGTTTATAATGAAGATTACTGATGAAACTCTCCAACTATTGGATGAAAAACTTTTAACTACACAACAATTAGGATTCAGTCCTTTCAAAGCAGCGTTTGAGCTACGAATACAGGAATGGGATGATAAGCTTCGGCTTACAAAAAAGGTGTTGACAAATGGATTGAAGTTCAAAAGTATGTTTTATATTGCATACATTGTGTACCATAATCTATATTACGAGGGGAGGTCAAAAAGTTCGCGGAATGAGCAGGAAGGGGGTTGAAATTTAACACGAAACTATTTTTTCCTTTTCAATATATTCTCCCTTAACCTTAATACATTTTTCAGATCTCTCAAATAATTTGTTTATACCATCGAAAAAAAATGATTTGTCTTGGCTATCAAAATAGGCCGAAATTGCGGACTTGACTTCTTCATCATCGCCAAATTTTTTGCCACGCAGCTCTTTTTTCATTTTTGGAAACAAATAATAGTCGCTGGGGGCTAAGTCTGGACTGTAAGGTGGGTGGTTTAATTTTTCGAATCCGCATCGCTGAATGGCAGCAGTCGCAACATGACACGTGTGGACTGTTGCGTTGTCGTGCAAAAGGAGCACACCTTTTGACAGCTTTCCTCTTCTTTTTTCAATCTATCTAATAAAGATTAGCTTCTTTCAATCTATCTAATAAAGAAGCGTAGTACTGTCCCGTTATAGTCACACCACGATCTTTATAATCGATCAGCAAAATACCTTCTGTATCCCAAAAGACAGTAGCCATGATCTTTCCGGCCGATTGTGACACTTTAAACTTCTTTGGAGGAGCTGTACCTTTTTTATGCCACTGCATCGATTCTTGCTTCGATTCAGGTTCATAGTGGTGAACCCAGGTTTCATCACCAGTAACAATCCGGTCCATAACTTCATCCTTATTTTCCCCACAGAGCTTCAAAAACTGGCGAGAACACTCGACACGCTCGCTCTTTTGAAGTGGCGTGAGCATTCTCGGAACCCATCTTGCACTGACCTTAGTCATCCCAAGATAATGATGTAGGATATTTAAAATGCTGGTTTCGGATACTCCAACCATTGCTGCAAGTTGTTTCTTCTTCAACCGGGCATCTTCCAATATAAGTTTTTCTACTTTTGCTACGATTTCCGGTGTGGTGGCCTCAATCGGTCGTCCGGAGCGGGGGTCATCTTCAATGGACTCTCTTCCTTGTTTAAAAAGTCCATTCCACTTGTAAACCATGGTTTTACCAGGGGCAGAGTCCGCGTAAACTGATAACAGCTCTTCGAAAATCGTCTGAGCGGATTTTCCTTGCTTTGTGAGGAACTTAATAACGGCGCGGTACTCACTGACTTCTTCCCGATTCACTTGTTTGCAGGTCAATAACTCAAAAGTTAATGACCCGATTTGGTTCAAACTTGGTATATATACTATTAATGAGGTGTTGAACAAGTTACTACCTGGACGAGTAAATCAACCCCCTCCATCCCCTCCATTCCGCGAACTTTTTGACCTCCCCTCGTATTATATAAAGGGAGTGGATGTATTGAGAACCAATAGGAAGCGAGCAGCCGTAGCCGTCACCAGCCAGCGTCGGTCGAGGAACGTTCTCCCACCTGGCCATTGACGACACGCCCGGATCCACTTCCAGCTCCCTGTTGGCAAAGCCACAGCACCCACCACTTTCCGCTGCTGCAGATTTGTGCAACGGATATGTAGTGCGGAACGGTCGAGCCCCTCTCCGTCGTGAGACCACCGACGCCGCCGCGAACCAATCACGGCGCTCGGTTAGGATCGCGTGTTCGGCTGTGTTAAGTGAAAGGACAGAGACCTAAACAGTGACAGTGACACTCCTAGATTAAGTGATTTCAAGGCATGGACCTAATTTTAACCAAATTGTGTTTGTGTTAGTGCTAGTGTAGTGATGGCCCCACCATCGCCACCTCGGCCCGCGGCTGCGTCTCAAAGGAAGAGAACAGTGCGCGCGGCCCAGGTTTGGCACGGTGCAGCCAGACGTCGCACGGATGCCGCGGCCGCAATGTTGCAGCGGATTGGAGGACAGCTGACCCACGTGTCTGGGTCCCGATCCGATGTGCACACATCACCATCGCCGTCACCACGTCCCACCACACCGGCTGGGACAGGAGACGCCTTCTTTGACAGCCCGGAGTTGGCCGCCTCACCGGCAATCTCTCCGCCCCGTGATCCCCGGAGACGACCAGCATCGCCCAAGGAGCAGAGGCAGCGCCAGGACACGCGCCTCGATCAAGCCACCTGGGCTCCGGCTAAAGGTAGGCCCGCCCCGCGCCTAGCGGCGCCGCCCCCCTACCCCGCTGAACGATTTATATCGCCCCCCAAGCCGCCCCCCCCTCGCCCGCCGGCCTTTACGTCTCCATGCAAGATTTCGCCATGCATAGAGATGGAGGTCTCATACGCAGTCATGGCTGCGTCACCGCCTACGAGACCTAAACCCATCCCGGCCACCTGCTCACCGACAGCAAACGCGGATGCGCCGACTCCACGGCCCCGCACCACACCGCCGTCAGTGAGCCCTCCAGCCTCCAGTGTTGCCGGTGCCACCGACGGTACCACCGCCACGGCCGCCGACACCAACAAGCCTGCATCCAGGGCCAGGTATCCGCCCTTAGTGGTCGAATCGCTCCCAGAGTGGTCGCGCCATATGCGCGAACTAAAAAGGCGACTCGGATTCGCTCCGAACGCCCGCCCCTTTGGGAAAGGCATTAGATTCCTTCCGAAATCAGACCGGGAGTTCCGCGAGGTACAATCATACCTCGCCAAAGTAGAAAGAGATGAGAACGTGGCGTGGTTCTCATACTCACTCCCGGCAGATCGCCCACTAAAAATCGCCATCCGAGGCCTGCCAGTGAACGCAGACCCGGCGGCCATAGTCGATGAGCTCCGGGAGTTGGGTTTCTCTCCCGAGTTCGTTCGCCCAATCATGGCTCGCCAGGGAAGACCCGGCTGCGTTTACTTCGCACAGCTGAGCAGGACGCCCTCTACAATCCCGGCCATCTACGAGGTTACCGAGCTTCAGTGCATGGCCGGTATTAAGATAGAAGCGTGGAGAGGACGCCAAGGGCCAGCCCAGTGCCACCGCTGCCAGCAGTTCCGGCACTCCTCACACAACTGCCATCGGGAGCAGGTGTGTGTGCGATGCGGGGGACACCACGCAGCCAAGGAATGCCCACGTTCGAGGGAAGAGCCGGCCTCCTGTGCCAACTGCGCAGGAGACCACCCAGCTAATGCCTCATGCTGCCCGGTCTACATCAAGGAGGCCAGGAACAAGAAGGCGGGCGCAGTAGCGCGAACTACCGCGGCTCCCCTTCCCAGAGCGGTCCAAATGGAAAGCGAAACCAAACCAATGCAACCGGTTCACTAATGGCGGCCGCAAACGATCCGGCCGCACCCAGAGCGACCCGGAACAAGAAGCGCCGGCAGCGAAGGCGTAGGCAGGTGAGGTCTGATGTCAATCCAGACCTCCCTCCTCCCGCATCTACCATCGAAACAGCGCCCTCCACCTCAGTGACTGCCCCGATTATACCAGCGCGTCAAGAGACAAAGAGAGCCCCCCTGTCCGCTACGGGCAGTAAAGTCAAACCCCCAGCGTCCGAGCAAGCTACTGCGTACGCAGTACCCATAGCGGAGGTCGTACAGATCCTGCAGGAGATCTTAGCGGCCGTCCAGGAAGGCCGAGTCAAAGAGATCATCCCGACCATCCTCAGAGCCCTGACTAAGCTCTTAGTTCGATAGAACACTGAGGATGGTCCACTGGAACGCCAACGGCCTAACTGGACCAAAACAAAAGCTGCTACGGGTACTGCTCTCAGAGAATAGAATAGACGTAGCTCTTGTCTCAGAGACGCACCTCAGACCAACGGACACTCTTACCATGCCGGGATACGTGGTCTACAGAAGTGACCAGGTATCCCCCGCCGGGGTAGCCTATAGGGGATTGGCTGCCCTGGTCAAAAGGCAGGTTATTCATCAACCGCTACCAGCAGTTTCCCTCCGCTCAGCCTACGCTCTTGGCGTAGAGGTGTGCCTTGATCGACGTCCTGTCCGAGTGTTTGCCTTTTATAGGCCGCCGGGTGGCCGCCTGGAGGAGAGCGACATCCACGCACTCCTAGACCAGGCAACCCCCACCATCATCGCAGGCGACTTTAATTGCAAGCACACGGCATGGAACTCGACACACGACGACGCCAACGGGCAAAAGCTTCTAAACGACGCGGAGAGGGAAGGGTATGCAGTAATGGGCCCAGAGGTCCCAACGCACTACCCCTACCAACATACCGCCGCGCCTGACGTCATCGACCTCACTTTAGTGCAGGGCCTGAACACAGACCCATCGATCGACGTACTAGATGACCACGTGATGTCGGATCACCAACCGGTCCTGGTCACTATCGATCTGGCGCCGATCCGTAGGGAAATCCCGCCCCCGCGTCACAGACAGGACTGGCACATCTTCGCAGACCACCTGTCGAAGAACTTGCGGTCGTTTCGAGTGGACAGCCCCGACGATGTGGACCGCCTTGCCCTCGAGCTCACCGAGTCTATCACCCGGGCACTCGAGGCCTCGCGGCTAAGCACCACATCGCACCGGAAACGACCGCAGTTGCCTGCCGGGATACGTGACATGATAGAGGACAAAAGGAGGCTGCGTAGATTATACCAGCGCACCCGATGCCCGACCATCAAGTCCCAGCTCAATGCTCTGGCGGAGAGAGTCTCAGCGGTGTTGGAGGACCACGCTGTAGACTCCTGGTACAAGACCATCGAGCGAGCTGGAGAGGACTGGTCGGGTATCCACCGCCTATGCCACCAAGTCTCCAGGAAGTCAGAACCGATCCGGCCCCTGCTAGCGAGTGACGGCACCCCGCGTTACCGCGCAGCGGACCGAGCCGAGATCTTCGCTGACTACCTGGAGACACAGTTCCAGCCTAATCCAACCAAGGACACCCTACACGCAGAAGAAGTTGAACGGAGAGTAGACGAGTACCTCGGGCAAGCGATAGCCCCCACGGAAGACCCCATTGTAATCACCCCCGGCCAAGTGCAGCGTATGATTCGCCGCACCAAGCTCCGGAAGGCCCCCGGTCCCGATGGAATAACAAATGAAGCCCTCCGTCACCTCCCCGCTCGCGGTATAGCGGCGGTGACGAGGCTGTACAACGGAGTCCTCAGGACCGGCCACTTCCCTACCCAGTGGAAGCTCGGCCGAGTCATAATGCTACCGAAGCCGGGGAAGAACATCCTAAGACCTGGGAGCTATCGCCCTATCACGCTGCTACCCACCGTCTCAAAAGTGTTCGAGAAACTTCTTCTGCGTCATATGACGCCTCACATCACTCCACGAGTCGAGCAGTTCGGCTTCAGAGCGGAACACTCTACCACGCTCCAGCTCGCGAGGGTCCTGCACGTCCTCTCGGTAGCTCTTAACAAAAAAAGAGTCGGCCGTTGCAGTGATGCTCGACATGGAGAAGGCGTTCGACCGCGTATGGCATCCCGGTCTACTGTACAAGCTGGCCACATCCACTACTCCTCGCCGAATAGTTAGGATTGTGGCCACCTTTTTACAAGGCAGGCGGTTCCAGGTGTCGGTGGAAGACACCCTGTCTACGCCTCGCCTAGTCAGAGCCGGTGTGCCTCAGGGGAGTTGCCTGTCTCCGGTGTGCTACGCCAGGTACACGGACGACATTCCGGTGGCGGAGGGCGCGATCTTGGCGCTGTACGCCGACGATGCTGCCTTCATTACCACCTCGCTATCGCCCACTCACGCGGCGACGAAGATGCAGCGGCAGCTGGATCAACTCCCCCCGTGGTTGGACAAGTGGCGCCTCTCTGTCAATATAGGGAAGACCCAGGCGATATCTATGGGGATGCGGCCATTACCGCAGCCCCTTACCATGATGGGACAGCCTCTTACTTGGGCGGCGACGATTAAGTACCTAGGTGTGACTATCGATCGCCGCCTGTCAATGCAGCCCCACGTGAAGGAAGTCGTCAACAAGACGAGGGCCGCACGTGCTCTCCTGCGTCCTGTCCTGCGATCTAATCTCCCACTGCGAGCCAAGTTGGCCGTCTACAAGTCGTATATCAGAACGCGCTTGACGTACGCCGCGCCCGCCTGGTATTCCTTAGTCAAGGAAACCGGGCGTGGTCGCCTGCGCGTCCAGCAGTCGCTGGCACTGAGAACACTTGTAGGCGCGCCTCGGTTCGTACGGAACTCGACAATCACCAGGGACCTCCGCATGGAGAGCCTTGACGACTTCATAATCCGCCTGAGTCGGGCCATGTTCCGGCGGTCAGAGGCATCGAGCTTCCCGCACATAAGGGAACTGGCCCCGTACCACAGACGCCCCCCGGATAAATACGCCCTGCCACGAGACCTCCTTCCCGCGGAGAGGAGTAGAAGCTAGACTCGACAACTGTCGGATATCGGCTGGAGGATCGACTCGCCATATCCGACAAACATCTAAACTGACGGCCGCAGGCTGATGGCAGCCTACCTGAGATAACTCTCAGGACGACGCCTCGCCGCGGCAATCATCACCAAACGAGACACCAGGGCTGCAAACGCCCACCACAACGACCCGCCTGTTTTTACAGGCGGAGTGGAGGCCAGCTTAGGGGGCCGTTGCCCCGACAAGCTCACCTCGACCCTCCCTACAGGGGGGCCTGAGATGACCCGATGCCGAGAACCAATATTTACGTCTGAAGATATATCATGACAATTACCGCTTGAAGCTAAAAAGTACGGCACGGCATGGAGACGAATTATGTCATCGGCAGCAGCATGTCCACAGGTTTATTTTCCTAACTGTATTTGGCAAACTTTCAAACGAGTTTTAAACTTTATACACACGATATTTAGTCACGTGTAGCACAGTTTAAATATTAATAGTATTTTTTAAATGCTTGTTAATATTCTAACATGTGAAATATTTGAAATATTAGGCTACTGTTATACATGCTTATTTCAAGCACGAAAGCATGCTTTGAGTACGTGCTGTTTACTAGCATGTGTGTTCAAGTGTTGCTTAAAATAAGTACATATGTGTAAATGTAGCCTTAGGTTTATAACTACTCTTATATGTAATTTATTTATTTTGTTCATAGATAATGATTATATGTCCGGATAGTCGTCTTCTAGACAGCTTGGTTGAAGCTCGTCATTTACTGGCTTTTGTATCACGAGGTCTGAATGAATATATGGAACTTAAACGAGTACGGTTCCCGAGATTCTTCTTCCTTAGTGATGATGAATTGCTAGAAATATTATCCCAATCTCGCAACCCAAGAGCAGTGCAACCCCATCTTAGAAAATGCTTCGAGAATATTGCTAAGGTACTTAATTATATCTGTCTTCTGATGTGTAATGTATTTGTTTATTTATTATACATATAGTAAGTACATATTTATGTGTACATTTATGTTTATATCTATATATGTATAATATCTTAATTTACTGTTATAATTTTTGTAATAGAATTTTGTTTGTATGCTTATAGATATAATTTTAATTTTTTCCTTTCTTCCATTTTATTATACCTACACCACATTCATCACTTTTTAAGAGAATGATATCCTTTGTGCATCAAATTTCTTTTACAGTAATGCAAATAATTCTACTTCTGGTAATAAATAATTTAGTTATAATAATTATAACATTCATGTATAGTATGTTTGTGAGCAGAAATAATTAGTTTTAATATAATGTTTGATTAATTTTTTGTATATAATACCGTCAGGTAACATTTGAACCGGATCTAAAGATAACTCAAATGCATTCAAGTGAAGGTGTAATCGTGGAGTTGAAGTACAAATTTTACCCTACTTCAAATGTCGAACAGTGGCTACTTCTACTAGAAGACACTATGCGACATACGAGTGAGACCAGATTAGTTTATTATATCTTTATAGTGTCTTTTTGATATGGGTTACTATATTATTTTATTTAATAGAAAGACAAATAGTTCTACCTATCGTTTTGGATTCTATCTATAGGTAACAATTTAAAAATAAATCAACCATTAGATCTTTAAATTTTTTCCATTCAGATTTTATAAATTTATGCAATATATGTATTATCACTTGTACAATAAAAATAAACGCTCACATCTCGTCTGTCCGTGATCACGGTTGCTGAAAAGTAGCCGAAACGTCGGGAGTATGTAGTTTTTATCAAAAATCAAGTAGCGTAGTATATCCGAAAAATATTAGTTTCATTTACAATAAAATGAGTTCAATACACACATTAATACGTATAATATTTTTCAGGTCAACTGAAAGAGCATCAGATTCGAGACCACAACCCGTTCGAGGAGGTTCTACCTCTGTGTTCTACTGAGCACTTGATTAACCTGCCCAAGGTATGTACCAGGGATGTTGCAGATGCCGATATTTTCACATCCGCGGATACGGATGCGGATGCGGAGTTTAGCAGGCTCACATCCGCGGATGCAGATGCGGATGCGGATGTATAAGATATTATGTAAATAAAGTCTATCCATGAAGAGTTATAACAATGACAACGTAATTATTAACATTTTTATTGTAATCAAACATAATTAAGTACTTATTTTTATGTTAAAAATATAAGTCATGTATAATGTAACTGAACACCTGTTTTTTATATCAGTAGTTGAATTTAAAAATAGGAGCATTATACTTGATGAAGAGTAGTATTACCGCCTTTTCTGGTTCTAGTCTGTTACGCAGAGGTTCGTAAATTAATCCCGCGCTACTAAATAGTTGTACGCTAGGAACACTGCCCGGTAGAGCAGATAAAAATCTTCGTACTATCGGCGATAATACCTTGAATTCCCCTCGATGTACACTCCACCAGTTTAAAGGATTTTCACTCACATTTATTCTTTTTTAGTACGGTAAGCAAGTAACTCTTTTTTTAATACAGCTTCAACGCTACTATTTTCTGGCTCATCTTGACTTTCGTCTTCACTCGACGAATCTAACATCATAGCGAGGTCGTTTTTTAAGCATGGCTTTTTGTTGAAACCTGAAGTCCCTGGTCCTAGTTGTTCTGTTTCATTTTCCATGCAATCAGTTATTTTAGCCCTTTTGGCATTGGTATTAACTGATTCAAAATTGTCATTCTCAATATTTATCATTTTTAAAATGTGATCTTTAATCTTTTCTTCAGTCACCGGTGTGAAAAATTTGTGCTTATAGCGTTGGTTATTGTCACGGTCCCATTGGTCCCATTGGTTATTGTCACGTGCGACCGGCACGCGTCAATCACCGGCCCCGCCCAATTTCTTTCTTGTCGCTACTTGTATAATATTCGCATCCGCATGAACATTCGCATTGATTAATGCGGATGCGGAAGCAGATGCAGATGTCCAAAACAATGCGGATGTTCCGCATTTGCGGATGCAGATGCGAATGTTCGCAACATCCCTGGTATGTACGTCATATAACTCTACTGCTACTTGTATATTCTGCTACTTATTTATCTACAATTAACAAACTGCAATTATATAATAATATATTTTTTTCAGAACAAAGGAAAATCAAGGACGTCGCGTGTCACGCCATCAGCGACACGTATGAAGGTGTCACGTTGGTCATACAAGAGGGTCTTCTGTGTCGCGAGTGTGACACGCCGCTTGACAGTGACAAACACTTCCTGTTAGTATAACCACTTGATAAAACGACGCTGCAAACATTGAATACAATCAGATTTATGGAATGTCAGTAAAGTTTTTCCTTTATCGTGTTGAAAACACTCATTAACTTTTACAAAAAAATGTTATTTTAGTAGCTCTTATTATATTGTGATATCATCTTTTTAATATTTCTATATTTTCTAATGAAGAAATATTAGATAAATAATATACCAAATGTTTAATACATACTAAAGTATAATTTTAATATTCTCAATATACAGCGGTCGCACGTCGCGCAGCAAGTGTCCATATGCTACATCATGTTACCGAGCGATGTTGAGACACAGTGGATATTGCGCCGGCTCACTTTCACTGGAGGCCACTCCTAGACCCGCTCCCACGCTATACTGCGTCTGCGAATACTCTACAGACATAAGTCAGTTTACACTGGTTATAGGATGTCAATCAATATAATATATTTTCATTTTCTTTTATAAATTTTATAACTAACTATGTAACTGTTAGACCAGCAGCATATATAGATCAATATAAAATATACAATTAACCAATGACTATAGTAACTAATAAAATATTAAGATTTTAATCCCCAGACGGCATCGTTAAATTAAACAAGTATGTAGTATTAACAGATTTTATTGTCACGACGCAAAAATTGTATACAGTTCGTAAATATTTGCAATTATTTATGAAAAACTTTGTTGGTCTAATATAATATTACTCCAGGCACGGACATTCTATCTCATCTCCTCGTGACACAACACACAAGCGCGTACTTAACTGAGGAACTAGCACGAGCCAACACCGTCAGGGAAGAACCAAAACCTGCTGATGAAGTAGAGCCTGTGAGTATCTACTAGTGATTACTCATACTGTTTTGCGATTATATTATAATATATTATGACATTTGCCGCTCAATAAGCTTAAATAGTGCCTAGTTTTAACAAAATAAACCAAATTTTCATGTCACACAAAATCAAAATAAAATTTTCATGTCTTAATAACAATTTTGTAGAACATATTTGCTCTTTATTCAAAACTCTTAAAGTAATTTAAAAACGGCTTAAATAAACATTCGTTTCGTAAGGAGGAATTCATTTATTTCAGTTTCAATATTAATTTTAATAGGTCACATCAAATAGTATACTACGTAGAAGAAATTAAAATCATCGTATATCTGTCTTCAGATGATTCCAGTGTACGCTGAAGGCTGTGAGCTGACGGCCAAGGTGCTCCTCTACATGGACCATCTCAAACAACACCAGGACAAGGAGCTGGAGATTAAATGTACGAGATGTGTGCTGAGATTCGTACGTCTCGGTGAATAATACAACTGTAAGTACTATATAAACAGATGAAACTAATATTTTCCGACTGTTTCCCGTATTTTATTATTTTAAAAACTATTATATATACACCCGACGTTCCGGTTACTTGTCAGCAACCATGATTAAGGCAGACGAGTTGTCGGGAGTGTGGTGTTATTAAAAAGAATAAAATACGCAAAGTATTCCGAAAATATTACTTTCATTTAAATGAATACTCGCAAGTCTTAAATCTACTATATAAAAATAAGTCCGTTCTTTCTTCCTGACGCAACTCCAGAACGACCGAACCGATTTCCAGGGTTTTGCATTCGTTGGAAAGGTCTCTGACTCCGTGAGGTTTATAACAAAAAAAAAATCAGGAAAATTTTCAACAGAAAAGCGGGACAATCTTTTTTCACATACAGCGCCATTTCTGATACGTAACAGTACTACAAATCAATATTTTAAGTAGATGGTGCCGGTGCATGATACATTGTTTGAAGGCTACTCATTGTTCTCTGCTCAGTTAATTTCATGTGACAAACCGGTATTGTGTTTGTAGTTTAAACTCTTAAAACCATTTAGTATTTGCGGGATAAATTTAGAAAATCATTGTTTTTCACATGGGCAGTTATACTTTGCGTGTTCAGGAGATCGGAAACCATCCGCTTTATTTGTGTTAACGTTAGACCAAAAACAAAAAATGTGGTTTACAAAGAGGAGCACTTCAATGAAACGTATAATTTGCGGACACGTATAACGCTTCGATTCGGTATCTACTTTGGATTCACTTTTATTTAATTAGAGAAGTTCAACTAAGTAACGATACATTTCTGTAATCGAAATGAATTCATTACTGTTGTGAAACGAAATTAAAATTTTCCTTTTCAAATATAAAACAATAAAAAAATTCTTCATCTTTTAATCACCAAACGAAATGTTACATAAAACAAAGCCTGGTGGCGAAAAGGAGTTCGCCGGGTTTACTAGTCTCATTATGCAATAAAAATAAACGCTCACATCTCGTCTGCCCGTGATCACGGTCGCTGAAAAGTAGCCGAAATGTCGGGAGTATGTAGTTTTTATCAAAAATCAAGTCGCGTAGTATATCCGAAAAATATTAGTTTCATTTACAATAAAATGAGTTCAATACACACATTAATACGTATAATATTTTTCAGGTCAACTGAAAGAGCATCAGATTCGAGACCACAACCCGTTCGAGGAGGTTCTACCTCTGTGTTCTACTGAGCACTTGATTAACCTGCCCAAGGTATGTACGTCATATAACTCTACTGCTACTTGTATATTCTGCTACTTATTTATCTACAATTAACAAACTGCAATTATATAATAATATATATTGTTTTCAGAACAAAGGAAAATCAAGGACGTCGCGTGTCACGCCATCAGCGACACGTATGAAGGTGTCACGTTGGTCATACAAGAGGGTCTTCTGTGTCGCGAGTGTGACACGCCGCTTGACAGTGACAAACACTTCCTGTTAGTATAACCACTTGATAAAACGACGCTGCAAACATTGAATACAATCAGATTTATGGAATGTCAGTAAAGTTTTTCCTTGATCGTGTTGAAAACACTCATTAACTTTTACAAAAAAATGTTATTTTAGTAGCTCTTATTATATTGTGATATCATCTTTTGAATATTTCTATATTTTCTAATGAAGAAAGTTTAGATAAATAATATACCAAATGTTTAATACATACTAAAGTATAATTTTAATATTCTCAATATACAGCGGTCGCACATCGCGCAGCAAGTGTCCATATGCTACATCATGTTACCGAGCGATGTTGGGACACAGTGGATATTGCGCCGGCTCACTTTCACTGGAGGCCGCTCCTAGACCCGCTCCCACGCTATACTGCGTCTGCGAATACTCTACAGACATAAGTCAGTTTACACTGGTTATAGGATGTCAATCAATATAATATATTTTCATTTTCTTTTATAAATTTTATAACTAACTATGTAACTGTTAGACCAGCAGCATATATAGATCAATATAAAATATACAATTAACCAATGACTATAGTAACTAATAAAATATTAAGATTTTAATCCCCAGACGGCATCGTTAACTTAAACAAGTATGTAGTATTAACAGATTTTATTGTCACGACGCAAAAATTGTATACAGTTCGTAAATATTTGCAATTATTTATGAAAAACTTTGTTGTTCTAATATAATATTACTCCAGGCACGGACATTCTATCTCATCTCCTCGTGACACAACACACAAGCGCGTACTTAACTGAGGAACTAGCACGAGCCAACACCGTCAGGGAAGAACCAAAACCTGCTGATGAAGTAGAGCCTGTGAGTATCTACTAGTGATTACTCATACTGTTTTGCGATTATATTATAATATATTATGACATTTGCCGCTCAATAAGCTTAAATAGTGCCTAGTTTTAACAAAATAAACCAAATTTTCATGTCACATAAAATCAAAATAAAATTTTCATGTCTTAATAACAATTTTGTAGAACATATTTGCTCTTTATTCAAAACTCTTAAAGTAATTTAAAAACGGCTTAAATAAACATTCGTTTCGTAAGGAGGAATTCATTTATTTCAGTTTCAATATTAATTTTAATAGGTCACATGAAATAGTATACTACGTAGAAGAAATTAAAATCATCGTATATCTGTCTTCAGATGATTCCAGTGTACGCTGAAGGCTGTGAGCTGACGGCCAACGTGCTCCTCTACATGGACCATCTCAAACAACACCTATACAACTGCAAGTACTATATAAACAGATGAAACTAATATTTTCAGCAACCATGATTAAGGCAGACGAGTTGTCGGGAGTGTGGTGTTTTTAAAAAGAATAAAATACGCAAAGTATTCCGAAAATATTACTTTCATTTAAATTAATACTCGCAAGTTAAAAATAAGTCCGTTCTTTCTTCCTGACGCAACTCCAGAACGACCGAACCGATTTCCAGGGTTTTGCATTCGTTGGAAAGGTCTCTGACTCCGTGAGGTTTATAACAAAAAAAAATTCAGGAAAATTTTCAACAGAAAAGCGGGACAATTTTTTTTCACATACAGCGCCATTTCTGATACGTAACAGTACTACAAATCAGTATTTTAAGTAGATGGTGCCGGTGCATGATACATTGTTTGAAGGCTACTCATTGTTC